ATTAATGTTTTTTTCTATCTTACATCAATCATTTTAGTATTTTGCTTTTCCTTTTTTTTTCCTACAGTAATTATTAGAATTGTTGTGAGAACGATTTATTTAATGAGAATTTCTACTTTGATTTTCACCTTTATCATTCAGTCAGTTCAGTGAGGTTGAAATGCTGCCAACATTTCTAATCTTTGGCTTAACGAATTATTGGAAGGTACATAGGAAAAAAACACTAATGGGAAATTTAAACAATATGAAAGAAGTTACATATTTTAACTCTTAGTTTAAGGATTTTAATATGATATAATTTAGTCATTATTCTTTGGAATTTTTAAATAAAAGGTCATTTTTGTTTATTCCATAATAAAAAATTACTTGTATACATTTAAGTCTTTTTCTTCAAAATAACTTCTCATTTTAGTTAAACTTTACTTGCTTTGAAAACTTTAAACAAATTGTACTTTTTTCTTAAAGGGATTATTTATACTATTATATAAAAATGATATACTGGTTTTATAAATATTTTTTGTGTCGTTAGACAATTTTACTTTTTATTTTTTTGATGAAGTATATAATTACACAATCTTTCTAACCAAAAATAATTATTTAATTTCTTAACTAAAAAACTGTATAACTCCTTAATTATTAAAAATTTGACTTTCTATTTCAAGATATTAAAATATGCTTTATTCCTTAAAATCTATACAAACATTTTGACTTTTAAACATGGTTCGTCGTTGTAAACCAGATTTTTAATGGACTTTTTCATTTGTTTTTTATAGTTTAATGTCATTAATTATTATATTTAATAGAGTACTACTAAGTTAAGATTTAAAACAAGAATTTTAAATTTGTATTAAATATTTTAGAATATCTACCAAACTATTTACTTTTATTTTAAAACTATTAAAGTCAATATAAAACCAGTCAAATGGTTATAATAAAATAAGATAAATTACACATGAGAGGGTAAAAATAAACGACATTGATCAAATTTCAAATTTTCACTAGATAATTGTATGTATTTAACGTGTTATATCATTTTAAAACATAATTGGTATCAGATTTCTTGTGTACACACGTGGATGTGGATGAGAAAACAGGTCAATTTAACTTGTAAATAGGTCAAATTGTTTTATCAATTAAAAATGAATTGAACTTTACTCTCACTTAGCCCGCTGGTGGACAAGCAGACTGGCTTTCTTGTTTTTTTTCTTGTCATCAAAAGTTCAATATCACATCAAAACATATTGAATTTTTTTACATTTTTACATAAAACAGGTTGATGACGGGCTATCAGACTGATTTCGGGTTGAAAAGGTTGTCGTTCTCGAGCTTTTTCAAATCTTAGTTGAGCTTTATCATATCTTAGCCAAGTTGTATCAGATCTTGGTTGAGCTGTATTAAACCTCAACATTAAGTTGTGTTAATATAAAATGTCACGACATAGACTCCGATTTCTTTTAATGAAGTGGGCTAACGGGCCAGTCCAAATGACTCGCGAGGCGGGCCTGTCAAGCTGCCAGGCTTAGCTAGGTTGGTTCAGACTCTTGGGTTAAAAATGTTTTTCACCCTACCTTTTTTGGTCGGATTGACAGACTAGCTCGACCTAATATTTTTTTCATCCCTATTTTTTTCTAAAAAAAATTGCATTGAAAACTAATTATTATTATATTTGTTTAATACGGGTCCTAGGTTTTGGTAGGTGTGTTCCAAGTGTTCGTACCTTTTTTCAAAGTTGTCCTATATTTTGTAAAAATAGTTCAAGTTGATCTTTTTTGCTTACCCGTTAGAAAAACTAATAGTGTAATTGTCCTCCTGACCAAGGTGAGTGAGTTGTCTAATTATTGATTGCATAACAAACTCAGGTCAATTGACTTGGTAAAGTATGTGGAAATATTAAAAGTTGAAGTGATTGGATAAAAGGAAAGAGTCAAGGGTTAGTGCAAAGTGCCACCACAAGGCCACCATGTCGCCATTAGCGCCACCATAGGTTCATTCTCGCGCAATTAAACCTCTATAGCCACCATGCCATCAATCTACATGCACGAACATCGCACCATCTTCATTCCGAATTGCAGAACCACCTTCCCTATGCACCTTCAACAGCCATGGCGACCTGCACAAAATCATCAAACCCTAAATCACACCTCGCCTCAACCACAATCATGCTCGTTCAATTGCAACGGTGCCTGCTGAAAAATTCCAAACCAGAATCGCAATTCACCCCTTTGGACCCTAATCATGAGTTCATTCTCCCTGATTCAAAACCTGCATCAGAAATTAGAAAAGCCCAAAAATCAAATTTTGATATAAATTTATTTGTGTTAAATTATAAAATTGACATAATAATTGATTTATAATGTGTAGTAAAATAATATGGTTATATGATTAAAGTTCACCATTAAAGTTTTTAGTTATGTATTATATTAAAATGAAATACGTATGTAAATGTTGAAGTAAAATGTAGGTATATTATGATATATGGTTGTGTCTAAAACAAATAACACATTAAAATTTATAAAAAGAAGTTTGTGCAAATATATACAGACAAATATATATTAAAATATATTAGCATATGAAATCATATATTGCTGTTTTTTAATGATAAATATAAATTATAGAAAATAACATTTGGATATGAATTTATTTGTGTTAAATTATAAAATTTATATAATAAATTATTAGTTTATTTGTGCTAAATTATAAAATTGATATAATAAATTATTAGTGACGTGTAGTGGTTGCTAAAATTTGGAATTAGACTTTCTAGTTCAATATTATATTAAAGAAAATGTTTTACATTGTCTTTTGTTGATTTTGTTAGTAAAATTATGGTATAAGAATAATTTGTTACTAATAATAACAACAACATAATGTCAATGCTAATGTTAATAATGATAACAATAATCATAATAATAACAATCATAATAATAAAGTCTTTTGTTGGTGTTGTTAGTAAGTTTATGATATAAAAACAATTTGTTACTACTATTACTACAACTAATAATAATAATAGCAATAGTAATAATAATGCTAAGTTTATTTTAATAATAATAATAATGTCTACATTGTTAATAATTATAATAATAATAATAAGAATAAGAGTAATATCAATACTATAATATTTGAATATGAATTTGTTTGTGTTAAATTATAATATTAATATAATAATTAATTAGTGATGTGTAATAAAATAATATGATTATATGATTAAAATTCACATTTAACGTTTTTAGTTATATATTGTATTAACACTAAAATCCAAACTGTAGTGGATAAGATTGACTTGAAGACTCATTTTCGCATATCTAAATATAATAAGAAAAAGATAAAGATGGAAATTCTTATCATATTGGATGTATGATCTCAACTAATAACTTAACTACATAATATATAAAGTGTATTTAAATAAATTACTCTGACATTAGTGGTGACAATAAAATAAAGAGAAGACTAGTAAAGATGTATAATAATGACCCTGACAGTGAAAGATATATATAAATACCAGTAAAAGCACGGGTTACAACATAAACAATAGTAACCTAATAATGGTTTGTTTCATGGTCATAATATATTTTCATACTAACACCATAAAACAATCATATTACTCATTGAAAGTTTTCACTAATATAAAGTATTCTTGCATTAAACCACCCACTAACCATATCATCTTACTAAAGCAAATGTCAACAAATTAGACGTTGTCGTGTATGTGGAATTTTAAAAATGAATTTTAAACACCAACCCAACAAATGATGGCATGAACATGTAACACAACGACTTTTCTATTACTCGTGATTTTAAATGTAAACTATACATATTAATGAAATATATATTTTTTATCTTTTGATATGGTATTAGAATAGTTCAGAACCTATATTTTATTATCAAATGTGAATGTACGATATTGCTAATGAGTGAGGTGTTAGATATGAAATGTGTGAATGTCTCCAAACCCTCTTCCTTTGGCAGCAGTGTTGATTCAACCTTGTCTTCACCCTCTCATCTTTCATTGCCTCTAATAACCTCAGAAGCCAAGCTCAGCTATTTGGGATGCTGAAACATCTCCCAACTCGTGTATTTTTAGACCTTCCATCAATTCATTCAACCTGGTCATCTACATATTTTAAAAGGTTGATAACTAAATTTAATAGACTAGAAGTAACTTAACCATTTTAACCTAAAATACAAAGACAAAATACTAATTTTCTTCCGATTTTAGTAAAGACAAACAAAAGATTGTATCTTGAATAATTTAAAATATACTTAAACGTGATATCATAGATAACTCGGTACTTTTAAAGGGAATTATGTATTGCTTATAGTTGTCAAAATGAATATTCAAGTCCATCAAATCAAATAGACTAAAGAGAACAAATACCATATCAAACCTGCTTAAAAAATAAATTGATTAAATAAAATGATTTTAGATAAGTTAATATGGTGTGTGTGTGTGTTCTTTTAGTAAAATATTATTGTTTCAATATTTCAATTACAATTAACTTTCTCTCCAAAGGAGCAACACAAAATTAACTTTAAACAAATATTTATATCCGCCTTCGTACACAAACATATAACAAATTTAGTTCTCAAGTTATGTACCCTATAAATAAATTAAAAGCAACAAATCATAACCTTGGGTCATGCATAAACTTTTTCCTAGTCTAATTCCAAATAATTCATTTGAATTATTAACACCAAATACCATTCATTTGAATCCACGGGTATCAACAATTGCAACAAAAGCATTTAAGAGGAGACATGATGGAAAGACTATTTATAAATACACGTATACTTTCTAACTAAAGAATCCATAACACGTATTTACATAGTTGTATAAATTTGATGGTTAAACTACCAACTACTATAGAAAAACTAAGTGTTTGAAATTGAATATTTTGTATTTTCATTAATTACTAAAATCCCCCATTGAAACATAGGCTGAGAGTTTATTTCTGAGTGCAAATTTAGTCCAAAGGCAATCTCACAGAAAAACTCAACGAAAATACCTACAAACGAATGCGAGTGATATTTGCTATCGAGGTAATAATATTCTTACAGATACATAGTAGCATTTGATAGATTTGATGCTATATTTTGAAAACATATAAATGCTCATATTTGATTTACTGACATTGATCCTGCCCAAAAGCTGAGAAATACAAGAGAATTGCATTGTTATAATCACAATAAATGTACTTTACAATAACTTTACCCCTTCCTGCGTTTATTCCCTTTTCCTTTCACGACTTCATTGGTGCTCCAACATTACAGTTAGCATTTTAGCATCAAAATTCCATTGAAGAATGCACCCAATCTTTGATTGCAATAAAGCGAGGCTAGCGAGAATTGAGGGCAGATCCTGTGTCTAGAAATGTCCTGCATGAGTCCACTGAACTATTGAGACCCCAAATCTATCCTCACTTGTTTTCTCTCCGAGCAGAACCCTAACCATGAGACAACATTAAATCTCACTATCAGTCCAATAGTTACTTAGGCATCAGGTTAAATATGGCTGGAATTATAGAAACTAACTTGATGCCTGCCACGTAAATACAATGATTTTGAAATTCCCATATTCTTTTTAAAACAAACATGGCAAAATTCGAAGCTTATTTGCAATACATCTTATGAACCTTATTCTTCAATAAAAACCACCCCATCAATAATATGTAAGCCATAAGACTCCTCCCCACTATACGAAGGTATGGGGAGATCATCGTAATCAGTCTTATCCTTACAAATACAACAGGAGTTTTCGGATTCAAACACGTGAAAACTGTTATTAGGGAGCAACTTTATTGTTGCACTAGGGCTTTCCCTCAAAATATACCGACAAAAGATATTTCACATTTCAGATGTATATCCCAGTCCAATGGGAAATCAAGTTCATATCTAAAACAACTGCCCGCCTACCATACCATTGCCAAAAATAAATAAGTGGAGCCATAGCTCCAAAATTGCATTACCTTATATTCGTCTTGACTTCTGCTGTGAAGGGTATCCCGGCATCCCCATTTGCTCTTTCCTTCTCAACTGTTCACAACATAATAAAATTTTAATATCATACAACAGCAGAATAAAAATTACCAAAAAAACAAATTAAAGTTAAACCCCTTCTCCCCTTTCTCAATTGCCATGAAACACTAAACCTGTTGCGGATGGCCCTGTGGAACACCTCTTTGCTTTGAAATATTCCCAGGATTCATTCCGTCTCCCATGGCTGCCTGAGATGTGAGATTATAAGCCGCCATTGGTTGAGCTGGCATTCTTTGCATTCCAACCACATTCATTGGCCGAGGAACAGATCTATTAGATCCATGAGCACCAGGCATGCTGCCAGAAACTGCAGTTACCTGACTCGGAAGTAAGAAATATACATACACAGTTAAAACTCAAAGGTGTAGAGCATGTTTACAAGTATAAGCTCCCACACAAGCTAGTATAAAACCATACTTTACTATGAATGGTATTTTTTTAATAAGCAAGGAAACTTTAATTTTAATAAGGAATAATGATATCAAATGCACTTCCCCTCCTAGTTAATATTCACATAAGAACATTTTTAGGTCAACCTCTAGTTCACAGTTCACAAGGCTACTTTTATCGCTTGAGACAGGCTCGCCCTCAGATTATTTACACACACATTTAAGCTCAGCAAGAGACCACACAATCATATTCCCAAAAGTCACGTATTACCATATTATTAATAAATAGTAAGATAATTATATACAGCTTTTAACTATACTACAATATCCAAACTAGTTTAATACTGCAATTTACTACTCCACCATCTATGATTTTTTGTTTTTTGAAGGAGTCTCGATGGTCCAATGTTAAAGAGGAAATTTTCATGCTAATCTTACATGATTAAAATTAAATTAGAAAAGTTATACACATGAAAAATAACAACTTTACTTTAATCATAAGTCAAATCCATAATATGACTCTCGAAATAGTTATTTAATTAATAACAAGTTTTTAAATTGAAAAAATTAGTCATATAAGGCATACATAAATAAGTCAGTCACATACATCTCTACACATTGCCAAACTTTTAAAATTATGTAATCTTTATGGCATAGCCTAGACACAGCATTGTAATTTTTTATTAATTTAAGGTAAAAAAATATTTCACCACCCTAAGCCTTGAATTATTACTCTAGTTGCATTTTTCGTCCTTATATATTAAATTAAGGATGCTATAACAGATTTACCACAATTCTTCATAACTTTCCCTTCCTGTTCAATTTAACTGTCAACTTTAATAGAGTCATATGTTCATGCCAACCACTTGATATGTGGACAAAAAATGTCTAAAACAAAACAAAAAACTGTCTTGTTATTAAATATTCACACTCTGGTGCAGAAAAAAGGCATCGTCTTTTCAAAAACTTTCATGTTTATGTGCAAAGCAGCAAACACAAGATGCTGATTAAAAGAGTTTTAAATAGTACATTTTAGCTGTGTAGGGAAGCAGAGGGGCCCTGGCTGCTATTGTGGCCACCATAGCAGATCAGTTTAATGCACCCATAGAGACCAAATAGTGAAGACCTGCCATAGCAGAAGAGATAGGAGTGTCTGTTGCTTTCAAAAAAGCCCTCTGAATAAAGAGAATGTGGCTTCTTTAGGGGGCTATTTTTGAGATTTCATTTCCAAAAATGAAATCTACAGCACTGATAAGCAGTGAAAATGATAAAGATAAGGGATCTTTAACACTCCATCATGCCAATGCTGAGGAGATGGTACGATACACCAAACAAACCTTGTTGGGATACTCTTTAATACCATATCAGAAAGTGAATTTTAAGTCTAATTCAATTTCTAAAAACCAAAACAAAGTGAAGTTTGTCACCACTTATATTATAAATTCATTCATATCTCTAGTTGAAATAGAATCCTCAACCCACTCCCTCACATCGAGGAATAAATGTCTCAAGCGTGGAACTAGATATTTGTGTGATGGTTTGATATAAGGTGAGATGATAAGCTCAACAAACCTTACTGATAGGCTCTACCAACATCTTAGAAAATGTGAGTATTCAAGATAAGATTTGCAGTCAATAATATACTATACTTTTTACCATATCTCCAGTTAATGTGAGACTTCTAACAATTCCTATCTAGCAAACTTGTATTTGACTTGCTATTTGTATGTTATGTGTAAGAGAACTGTTACTTCTTATGAATATTATGAATTTTGAGTAATATTTATCATTTTCTAGAATTTATATGCATATAGTATAGTGGATATCCCATAATAGTGTTTTCAAGGCCAGCTGAGTTATGCCCCACTGTCCAGGATTTAAAACACTGCACAAAAATGTTGAAAGAAAACAAAAAAGTTTGTAGTTGATAGTGCAAGGAGAAATTGTACATATTTTACAAGAAGTCTATAAGCGGTCGAAACTTACAAACAGAAAGGGTGTTGATGCTCAAAGTTTGGGTGTTGATGTTCACAAGTTAGATTTTATTCAAACTTTAGCTACCAAAATTAAGGGTGTGCCCTTGTATAGCAATAAAGTTGCTTTGATGACAAGTTGTGGTCATCAAAGGTAAAGCTATGAATCCAGAAGCAGTCTCTTTGCATGCAAAAGTAAGGCTGCATATAATGACCCTATTTTAACTATAAAAATAAAAATTTCTAGAAGGATATGCATGTTGATCTAAGAGCAGTTATGGATGAATATCAACAAGTTCATTTTCAGACATGTCATGGATGAATTCAGCTGTCAAAATCTTGCCGAAACCTTAGTTGAAATGTGTTGTTGTGATGATTAAAATAGATGGATCAAAAAATACCCTATGAATAATTACTCATACTTTTAAGGCCTTATTTTCTATTTATAAATTAAAAATATCACAACCACAATATGACAAAAAAATTTACGTTTATATGATGAGCATGATTTGGTTTAAAGATCCCTCATCGTGGAGCATAACCAAGCTAATCATGTAAATTAATGAACTTCATTTTCAAATTTTGGTTGTAATATTTGAGTTCGTTATATAATTATTACAATTAAAGCAATTATATAGTTAGGACTTACAGAATTTATATAAGAAAATAAAAACACAAATTCCTTCCAAAAATTCCTTCCAAAGCTAAAAGCAACTAGTGCATAAGTTAATTTACAGAAATTCTCTCATATTAACTTTTCTAAAAGCTTACTTTTAACTTATGCATGAGTTAATTTAGCTTTTGGAAAAACTTATTTTATTTATTTCTTTTCCTAAAAGATTTATGAAGTTTACTCAAACATACCTATAATTTACATAACTTTTACTTCAAATATTTTTAAGAAATTCTAAAAGGCTTACTAATTATCTAATGAAATAATATAGCTAAGTTGTATATTATACAGATAACTCATTACATAATTAAGTTGTTATTTTTCATGTGTACAACTTTTGTAATGTAACATAACATCTAAAAGTTTTCAAGTACGATTTGTTCATAACAGTCATTAATACCAACTATGACTTGTCATTACCAATCCATATCCATATATGATTCGAACAACTTGTTCACAATAGACTTTTAGAATTGTCACGAACTGGCAAGCTATACACAATGGCAACTATGTTCTACCGAACACAGCAAAACCATTGAATTGTTCTTAAACATCATGGCACCATCTAATTGAACTTTATTAATGTTAACTATCACCTACATTTTCTCCAAGCAGTTCCCTTATCTGTAAGAAATGTAAAACTGGCAAGTTAATGCAAGGATACTTTTAAATTAAAATTGAATTTAAAAATATATATGATATAAAGTATATACCAGAAGAAAAAATATTGTTAAACAATGGTGAAATAACATATCTTAAGAATAAAATATAATGGAGGAGTTATTCATTACAGATAATAAAGAGTTCTATTTTATTAGAAAGGAATAACTTAAACAGATAATTTTTTTAAATCGAATATGAAAGTACAGAAACATTTTTTCAATCCAAACATGTTATTCCTATGTCTGTTAATTTGATATGGAGTGTTAAATTAAAAATTTGAAAACCAAATTCAAAAAGGAATTAGCTAAGTTTAAGCAATAATATTTAAGAATATATTTTTTTAAATGGAAGATACTTAAATAAAGAGAAACTGTATACCATTCTAAGAAAGTGACTCCTAAAACTTTATAATTGGATGCAATCCAATACATACGATTAGCCCACATAAATTCGATCTAATATATTTTTTGTATATCATAGTTATATATTGACAAAGGCTCAATTTTTTGCAATCAATTCTCAATTTGGATACAAAAATTAAAGTAAAAACAAGGTCATAAGGGAGTATTTTACAACAGTGAACAGAGGAAGAGTGAAAGTTCAACATAGAAATTGTAGTTAATATGTTCAGGCAGAAAATACATGTTGTCATCAATTAAGTTCAAAATAATATATCTTCTTGAGATATCATAAATTTATATATGAACAATTTATTTTCTTCTCTCTTATTCACTCCCTTTTTCTTCTTCTCATATTCCCCCTTATATAATAAGCCTATTTGAAAGGTCTCGTTTCCTAAGCATCTTAAAGTATTGGTTCATTAACAAGTAAAAAAGTAATTTATCATTATACAAGATGATTCATCATTATCATATAACCCTGATTAACCTTAAACATTCCACCCAATAAAAAATAATTTATCTTTATACAGTATAATTTCTTATCATCCTATAAGCCATAGGCTACCCACATCCTCTAAATAGTCCTTCACTTCTCTAAATATGCAATACTGTTACAATTTGAAGTACCGCTTCATCCATAAAAAAAAAACGAACATCCTTGGTTTTCTAATATTTGTTGCTCCTAATAGACTTAAGTCTGTATAATTTCACTAAAATATTATTTAAGGACAATATCGAATCATATCATTCACTATTTTAACATACCCTGGTCTGTGAAAATTTTAAATATATAGACTGAAAATACCCGAACAATATATTTGGTAAGCGCAATAGCTGTTTAGAATGATATACCCCAATAATATTAAAGCAACAAATTCTCAAACATCATTGCATACCGCTTGTGAAGCTGGCAGATTGGTTGTCCCTTCAAGATCAGTTGTGTTGTCCACAGGACGAGTGGGATAATTTACAATTTTCTCTCCAAGTTGACATGGTACAAGAGCACTGATAATGATTTAATAGAAATGTTCAGTCAAAGAAGATAAACATTGGTGGAATATGGACTTCAAAGGGACTACAATTTTATGAAAAACAAAAAATAACAGCATTAATATTTTTGTTTATAAATCTTCCAACAAAAAATTAACATAGTAAAAGGGATCGAGAATGGTACAACCAGGTTTTATTTTTTGAATTTAGAATAAAGGCCAACCCAGAATAATCAAAAGGGGTAAGAAAGAATCTCACTTCCGTCCAGGTAATGGTTCGATTTTGAAATACCTGGCAAAACAGAGTATAGGGATGCTTGTCAGATAACAGCTGAACTACAAAAAGTAACTAATATAACTAAATTCACAACGCAGTCTTAACTATATTATATTGATACAACAAGATGTACACAAGAACATATTTTCAGTGCACGGTAAGTCATATCAAGAAATAGAAGGAAAAATAAAGATAGAACTACGTGAAAATTTCAGTAAAAAGAAAAACCAATAACTAAATAAATGCAAAATCATACTTTTAAGGTTAGATACACATAATGTACACAAGAACAAAGAAGGAGAAGAAAAAAGTCCTACTCATGCTCCAAAGCTTGTGCTGCTGTTATACGCTTCCGAGGATCATATCTGCACATAAATCCACAAACTGATATTAAATTTAAAATCACTAATGTGTCTTCATAGTAAGGCTTAGGCTTTTTGAATAGTCAGTTTATAACATACTATTAGAGCATCAATGGTCCAGTAGTCTAGAGTCCAAGCAATGTCACTCCAATACTTACAAGTAAAAAAGTTGAAACTAGATTATTAAAAAGTAAACTTTAAATCTAACTCAACCCAATAAAACCACCTTATGAAGTTTGCACCTACTTATATATTGTAAAATTGTCTTATTTCTAGTCTTACACACCTCCTCATGCCAAAGCATACACATCTCGAGCATGAGACTAAATATTTAAGCCTGATTCAACCTTACAAAATCAGTTTGTAAGATGAGGTTTCCATCCACTTATATACTATAAAGCAAAATCTACCTTATCTCTAGTCTATGTAGAATCTCCAACATAGATAAAGGTAGGCTGACTTGTGCATGACCCACACTTCAAAGCCAAAGGACTTGTTTGGAGAGTGTAAAATAAAACTTAAGGATTGGGGATGGTTGGTTTATGATATCCCCCATCATCTTAAAAAGAAAACTAAAAAAGGGAATTTTGTGTTGAAACTCTGAAGTTTTAGGAAGACGAAGGAAAAGGAAACAAAGACACTCAAAACACTAAAAAAAACTGACTTCATATGGTATGTGATACTAATATAATTACAAGTAAAAGAAATAAAATCCTCAAGCCTACTTTTTACATATCAACACACAGTAAGGAAAAGAAATGTTTTGGCTCACTTATCCACTCTATCACTATTTGGGAGCGCTAAAATCACAAATGTACAGAAGTTATTGTACAACACCTAGGGTCCAAATTTGTATTAAATGGAAAGTGAAACACATCATTTTTAATGTTTTGTGTAGGCATAGAACAATAAAAAAAAATTAAATCCAGGAACAAACTTACTCAAGCATCTTTGACAGGAGGTCGTATGCAGGACTTTTTGTAGATAGGTGCACAACATTATAGAGACCGGTGTTGTCACTTAACAGCCATGAAAAACAGATGAAAATCCATTAATTTCACAGTAGAAATAAATCAATTTAATTTTAAAATTTAAAGAATGAAGGGTAAGTAAAGAAGGACTACATATTAAAGGAAAATATCCTTCCTACATACAAGTGTATAATCACATTAATAATGAAAATTGACAGCACCACCAACAATAATATCAAAAGATCTTACTATTTGTGTCCTTGTATATGTTGCACGTCCTGTTGCCAATGTGGAAGACTTGCCAACGAAGGCCACTTCTCTAATGTGGGATGGCCTGGCACATTAACAATGTCCTGTGATATAGCTCTAGAATATTCATCAACAGAATGAATGTCCACCAGCAGGGAAAATAAAAAACATTATGCAGATAATTACCTAAAACCTTAAATATCTTGTCAAGTTGGTCAAGCTGCACAGGTGGAACAATAATTATGAAAAATCCAAAAAGGCAAAGCTGGCACTAATATATATATTTCAACACAAACCCAAAGAAAACTAAATCTCTATCACAGTATTCAACTACAGAATCAGAAAGCTATAACTTATTGCATCAAGTACCTGAAAGGGATTTGATGTAGCTTTGACTTCTGCCCCTTGAAATAGTGGCTTCAAGGTCAACAACTCGGCAAAAATGCATCCCACAGCCCACATATCTAAATGTATATTTAAGGAAAAATGCATACAGACCATTTTTAGAAGAGTGGAAAAATGTTATCCCACCCAAGGAAAAATGCTACAGACATTCAGTTAATATACACTGTGGACAAGTTTAACTTTGGATTACATATACCATAGTGATAAGCCCCAAACACCCACAGGATAAATTAAAATGTAAATATTATTTCAATCTTGTGGAAATCACCAATTCAGTGAAATCATAACTCATTGAAGTGGGCATCTCAAGTAAAACTAGAGACAACAACAGAACCACAAAACATGCAACTGAAGCTAGATATTGCACAGCACAGAAATTCCTTGGCAGGAAAATATAAAAAAATATTAACTTGATACCCTATACTTTAAAAGAAAGTAAAACTTCAAGGGATACCAACAGCACTGGTATAATGTTTTGCTCCAAGAAGCAACTCTGGTGCACGATACCAAATAGTTACAACAACCTGCAAGTCAGTAACTCTTATATTCAGGAAACCAGATAATCAAAACACATGACAAGCTGATGAATGAGAACAACAGAAGAGAACAGACAATTTGGGCAACCCTTGTGTGGGAAAACAAAACACTAGAGAATGATAGCAGCAGACTAAGGGTGTGTTTGTAAAAAGTTGGACCCAACACAAATGGTCACTCAGCCAATAAAAGGAGAGTCTTCATTCTCCTTTTTCTGCCTACGAAAGTATAAACGCCCTTTTTTTATCTCCTAATGGTAATTCCAACACACGATAGGCAGCAAAAGAAGGTAAACTTGAAACCAACATATCCATCATTCTGCTTGTAGAAGAAAGCTGGGGTAGTAACACCTTTTAATCAATGATTTGTCTATAATATATACTTAGTCCGGCTCTGGTTTCATAAATCCAAAGAATACCATGCATGTATGTGCGTACACATGCAGATACAGATAAAGATTTCTTAAATACACCAATGAAATATCAGATATAATACATATGGATGAAAATGAAAAAATGCATCATATGGTCATACTAAAGGAGTTTTGCACTCACATACACGGACCAGATGAGGCTTTTAGACTAAACTGGCAGTTGTCTACAGTCACCAATCATTTAAGGCTTCAACAAAATCATTTATTCCTAATTTAAATTATTAGTGAGAAGTGTAGCAGATCACACATTTAATAGAAGGTTCTTTCAATTCTGGTTCTTTCATATACATATTAGGTTAGTTTATTTCCTCTATTGAGAACCGACTTCAACAACTTTTAGAATAAATACCTGTTTTTTATGTGATTCACAGGAATTACAAATTTTGGATGAGGGTTTTACATTGGAAGAAGGACTAAAGAGAATGACATTTTGTAAAGGAATTAAAGTGGTTGGGGTCATGTAAAATAAGGAACTAAAGTTAATTAAATCCTATCTAAGATTAAATACATTGCAAAATATATCAAATATATTTGACCATGTAATACTTCGATCAATAATTTAGCAGCTCAAAAAAGTTAGAAAAATAAAATGGCAAAAAATCAATTATATTAAACAATTCTAGGCCTCAAATACAGATTATGCTAAAGGCCTCCAAATTTCTAGACATGGCCCAAATCATACCCCATTATCAGATAGCGGCTTCAGAGGAGCTTGATATATCCTTGCAAGTCCAAAGTCAGCAATCTTAACAACTCCATGTTCCTCTCCTTCGCCCATAACCTGACCAAAGAAAGTTCATTTAACTAAAAAAGCCAATGCACTGATCAAAACTTGAGCAACAAAGTTAATTTTTTTTTGAAAAAAAAAAACTACACATATATTGCAATAAAAGTAGTCAATGTACAAACAGCAATGAGGTAGCCAAAACCATACCAATATATTTGATGGCTTCAAATCTCGATGTATCATCCAATTACTACAGGGGGAATGCAAAAATACCAAGTCTATTAAAAAAAGTATAAAAAAATAAAGAAAGAAAAAAAGAAAAAGAGTGATGTTTAAAATTCAGTAATTCGGACCTGTGCAGATAACTTAATCCATTGAGCAACTGCCAGAGCAAAGACTTGACCGTGTATTGATTAATAGAATGGTTGAGTTTGTCTCTGTGATGCCTAATAATTTCCTGCGACGTTTAACACCACAATTTATTATTTCACAATGAAGAAGAAAAAAGGGCGAAAAACGCCCTCGAAGGAACGGAATACCGACGTAAAGATCATGTTCGGCGTAATCGAAGGCGAGGTAGAGCGACATGTCGGCGTGGTTGATGTGGACATTGACGAGCTTCACGACGTTCTCGTGCGTAATCTCCCTCAACAACTGCAAGAAAAGAGGAATGAGAGGAAATAGAAATTGAAAGTGAAAGTGAAAGTGAAGGGACCGGAAAGAAGTGATACCATGATTTCTCGGATGGCGGTGGGGGAGACCCCGTCACCGTCCTTGGACTGCTTGAACTTCTTGATAGCTATGGATTTGGAGGGAGAGGGGGTTTTGGTTCTTGCAAGAAAAACGAGGCCATAAGTGCCTTCGCCGATTTTCCCTAACAGATCGTACTGCTGCACCCACTCCGCCCTGCTCCACCGGCTCCCACTTCCGTCACCCATGACGACGACGACGACGAAGAATACTCTTTGTTCGATCGCAAGGGATAAAGCGAATTTCACAATATGGTTTCTGTTTATTTATACACGGGCGCTTCTCCCTTCAATTAAAGTTTATCTATGCACTTCGAAACTTTTTTTTAATATCTTAATTACCCTTATTATGACAAAAACAAATTTCCGTTTTATAATTACTCCTCCTGTTTAGTATTCAATTTCTCTTAATGATGTATGTCTTGGATTTCAAAATTTAATTTAATAAATAATATATAAATAAAGTTAAACTATAAAACATATATAAATTATAGAATAAAAATAAATTACTCTGTATCAAAATTTGATTAAATAAAATTAATTTTGTATTTTGTTATTGTAACATCCTAAAATATATAGTTTAAACTATATAAAATAGTAGTCATAATATTATAGAACGGTTAAAGACTGACAGATAAAGAGTTAATTTTATAGTCATTCAAAATGTCTATAAAATTTAAAACTTTATATACAGTGGAGTATTTCAAAACTTATACAAATACAATGGACAGCCTAACTAAACTAGAAAGTCACATCATCTCCCTCCAAAGTCTGTTCCAGAGACACTTCATCTCCCTCTACTCACATCCATAGAATGATCATGGCAAAAGAAAAACACCACACATACAAAATACAAACACAAGTAGAAGGGTAAACTAGATACACAAGAAAACACACATTATAATAGCATATAACATACACCAGATAATTCAAGCAAAGTAACTAAATCACACATCCTAGCATATTATATTCTAGACTTAACTCGTCCGGACTTAGAATGATTGTCGAGTTATGACGGGTCATGCACTCGTGGTGGCCTCTATTGCTTTGCAAAGTCATTGCCAATGAGTTTCACCCTACCACCCTCACAAGGTTAGTCTGTTCCGGGCCTTGAGGCATACTGGAAGCCCCCAAGACTAAGACCTCCTACTACTCCTCACGAGCTCTTGCATTCATTTTAAACAACATGAAATCTCACCAAGAGATTCTACACTGAAACTTACATTCACCACTTTGAATCACATACTTTTAATTGTAAATTTACTCATAATAATACTCAATTATATAATATCATATACCCTCAAACATACTTCACCATGCATACAACACTTAACTTAATTCAACTCAAGACAAAGAAATAAAGAGTAGACTAACTCAGACCTGTCGCTCCGCGCATCTTATTCGCAAGGCGAAACTAGGAGTTTCTCGCATAGCGACTTATCTCGCTGTGCGAATTAACTTGCAGAGGTACCAGACCTCAACTCCTCGCATAACGTCCTAGTTCGCTATGCGAAAACCTAGACAGATATCAATCATCCCAACTCACTCGTTGTGCGCCCTTTTTTTGCTATTCGAATAAAAATTGGCAGTAGTCCCAGACCCCAACCAGGCGCATGGCGCCCTGATTCGCCATGTGAATCATTAGACAGAGAGCAACCCTCCTCAATAATTCGCACAACGACCCAACTCGTTGCGCGAATGTCCAAGCAGAGAGCAAACCTCTCAAGTCATTCGCATAGTGCACCAATTCGTTATACGAATGCCCTTAGCAGAGGGTATCTGGCCAGAGTGACTCGCTATGCGAATCTATTCGCACAGTGAGTCTGCATAATCTGCAAAACGAAAATCTCCAAAATTATGCAACTCAGACCCCAATTACCAATTCTATATATTTTTCCCAACTTCTAACACTCCTAAATTGTATTATATACCTAATTAGACTTGTCTAAGTGATTCTAAACCTTCCTAACCTCAATCTATAGTGTTTATGGATCAAATGCTACTTCAAAACATCAAATATATCAAGTTAGAGACTCAAATCCCATTGTACCACTTTTGGCACTATTTTCTGCCACTTAAGGACTTAAGCAAGTCCTAATTGACCTATCTAACCTATTCTAACTTACTAATACAACCTATAACTCCTAATTCAAAATTTCACTACTCCACTTCCTTGAAACTTACCTAACAACCAGTATACTTCACTCAACTTTCTCATAAACCCATTTCATCCAGATTTTTACCTTTCATCTAGTCTATAACATCAGAATCATCATCCCAAATAGTTCATATTCATAATTTCTTCACACACACTTACAACAGCCACAACAAGCACATTCATTATAATATCAAAGTCAACAATTCAGCTCATCAGATATATATAACTAACATACTCTTCACACATGCATAATATAATTAACTAAACAGAGAAAAATCCAGCTTCCCTTACCTTAGAGAAGTACCACCCAACTCTAGAAACCCAAAAACGATGCTTGCATTGCAAGGTAACTCTAGGAAACCCTACAGATCACCAATTCGCGATAGAAAACATCTCTTAGAACCTAAATTGAGCTGAGAATTGAAGAAGAAAGCTATAAGGCACATGCACAACACAATTTGCACGATCAAGACTCAAGAACATGCGGAGAAAGGGGAAAAACAGCTTACCAGCTAAAATCAAGAAATTGATCGGTCAATTGTGTAGCCCTCTACGCTGTGAATGTTTGGGCACCTCCTGATCGTCAATCAGACAACTCAGTTGAGAGAAATCTTAGAGAGAAGGGAGAGAAATGATAGGGAATAGTGTTTTAGAGAGATGAAGTGTTTTTAAAGTAATGAGACACATTTATAAAATTCTATTTATATTATAAGATTATTTTAAAGTAAAATGTTCGTCTCATTATTTTAATACACCTATCTACTCTGTTACTTTATTTTCTAGGTTCTTACAGTTATCATTTAGACGATTTCTTGTATCTTGGTATTATTTAGATGGCATGATCTGTCCATGGAAAAGATGAAAATAAAAAACAAAATTAGAGGGATAAGTTTCTGAAAATAATTTGAAGAGGAAAATACGCTAAAGTCTAATGAAAAAATGGTAAGAAAAAAAAGAGAAAAAATAACAAACCTTACGCCTTATCACGTCTATTTTGTAAACAAATTGTTTAGGTGAATAAGGTCGAAAACTATCCATTCATATTTTAAATCATGGTAAAAGCATTTTTGATAGTTTTTAGTTATTGATTGATTATCATAATTAAGTTTTAAATGTCTAATAAATGTAATTATTTATCTCTTTATTTTATTTTTGTATTAATATGTTTCGAGATGGACTTTAGATTAAAATTGACCCAATATTAAGCATCTTAATGTGCAAAATACTGAAATGTCATTAAATCAGTAAAAATCCGTTGGGTGTAACTGTGTTGGGATTCTTGAGTTGAATTTCTATGAAATTGAGTGAATTGGTGGAATAGACTGTCATAGTACACAAATATTTATTTTATTTTATTTTGAATTGGTGTAGTTAAACTTTAAATAAGTATCATTTATCTCACTAATAATTAATCACTCAATTATTTTGAAAAAGAAATATATTAATTTTTTAAATTAAAATAAACACGTTAGGAAAATAACACATAAAACCTATCTGTTATTTATTTCTTGAATAAGTAAAAGTTTTTAAAAGTACTTATTTTAAACTTAACATGTAAACTATAATACGGAACCAAAAAATGACATGACTAGGAGAAAGGAGAGGGAGAAACCGTGGACGCGGAACAACCGCAGAGCTTGTGACTAAGGCTTGCCTAACTTCTATTCTCTTTTCTGTTTGTTTCCAACTCTTCTTTCTTTGGCGATGAAGCCAAACCCAAGTCAATTTCAGTTACTCAATTGAATTTCGTTCCGTATGCTTCTTGCTTCGCAGATTAGTATGTCGCTCATTGCGTTAGCTGCACCTGCCTCTCCCACTGCTCTCGCTTTTCGCCGTATATTCTCTTTTTGCTCTATCCATTATCATCTCACGCACATTACTTATTGTTTGGAATCGGAGAGAACTGACGGAAAATTATCGGAGTTCTGTTTTGTACTTTTAAGTGTTAATTAAGTGTTATTTACTATCAATTTCATACTATTGATGCGTCGGTATTCTCTTTTGCGGTTTCAGGCGGAGCGAAGCAATGGAGCGCGCTATTTCCGAAAAGCAGGGGAACTGGTTCGTCCTTGTTCGCAAACTCTCTCAGGAAACGGTTGCGATTGCGGTTTTTCGCTTCGGGAAATAATGGCGGCATTGTGGAGGAGATATCTGAAGCCGAAAAAGAGCCTAAGAATTTTGCGTGGCCTGATAACAAGGTTTCGAAGTGTTACTTTTTCTCTTTGGAAATTCTGTCTATTTGCATGTGTGATTGGCCTGGGGAACCAGCGGTTCTGGTTTATGTTTGATACTTCGTGGTTAAATTGTCAAGAAAAGAAATATTATCTGATTGCAGAAACCTAGAGTGTGCATATTAGGCGGTGGATTTGGCGGCTTATATACTGCTTTGAGGTTGGAATCATTGGAGTGGCCTGATGATAACAAACCACAGGTAAGTTGTCTTCAAATAACTCTCGTTGAATTTCATATCGTTTCTCAAGGAGGCTTTGCTTCTGCTTCTAGTGTTGGGGAGGGCTGGTCAAGCGACCTTCCTATATAACCTTGATCACTAACAAAGGAACTAGAGCAAAAAATATTCAAGGGAGCCCAAATTGCCTCAGAAACTACTTGACAATGTTTCAGAAAATGATAATGTTTATTCAATTGGTGAGGGTAATGCACATGATTGCTAAGGTCAAACTTTTCAAGCTGGTTTTGTGAAACTAAGTTAAATCCATACACAAATTATAAATTTCATGCTTCATGAAAATGAAAAATATACAAAACATGATAATTTCATATTGTCATTTTCACTTTTTGAGAACGAACTCTTTACAAACTTTAAAATGAATACAACAAAAAAGTTATTATCTCAATATGAGAGGGCAGTTACGTTGATCACACAAGAAGGTATAGCTCACTCTTATTTTGATTTAATAAGTAACATTTTATTCTATTATACGCGGCTAAAACTACCTTCCTTATTTTTACCCTAAAGCTGCTAGTTCTTGCTTTTACATTGCTTAGCCAGGATCCAATTCAATTCATTCAGTTGTATGGTTGTTGGTACAAAAGCCATGACCCAAGGAACTTTGGAGCCCGTCAGAGGGAAAAAGAG